ATAGGCATCTCTGCTTATTAAATCACTGAAGAGCTTTTGTATTTGAAAGTTTCTTGAAAACATGGTCTGGAGTCATTTGATTATGCAAAACATTGTTTGTGCACCACAACTGATGCTAATTTGCATCTCTTGTATTTGAATTCCACAAGAGGGCAGCGTGTTTTTAATGTTTGAGGTACATGTAGCATCTTTAAGCCTCTGTCAGATTTCTGACTTGATGTAACCAACAAGCAATGTTTTGTTTATATTGTAATGGGCACAGAAATGCTTCAAAATATAAATAAAATATATTTGATTTATTTCTCTGTAGTATAATGCAATTGTACAACAAATGAAAACACACAAACAAGCACAGAGGCATCCATTTTTTTAAGACATCGAATGAGGGTTTCCCTATTCCAGGGAAAACCTGATAGGCTGCTGGCTTAGCTAACAACATTCAAAGCAAAAACAATGTAAATTCCTGAGTGCTTAAAGCTTTTTGTTCAAACAGGCTGAGATAAGATATCAGGTGTCCACTTTCACTACAGATGACATGATTTTCAAACTAAAACACTCAAAGGAGAGGTATAAGGTAACATAAGCACACATGATATGCCTTTCATTTTGGCTTTGGCTTTTTTTTTTTTTTTTTTATCAATTATTGCTGAAACATGATCAGTTAAATTTCCTAAATTGCAACAGAAACTTCAGAAAATCCACAAAGTGACCTTAAAAAAAAGAAAGAAAAAAACTTCCACCAAACCTTGTTGTCACTTTATCAGGGCTCTTGAATTTCACCGTTCTCCTAACAACCACTAAAGCACATTTAGTAACAGACCATTAGTCCATAAACTTGCGGTTTTGGTTGGCACCAAACAGTTGCACTCTGATCTCAGGCATCATCTGTGAAAACAGAAAAGCGAAGAACATGAGGACCTGAATACAACAAACGGCTTTTATCCTGTTTCTTCCTGTTCTACAATGTGATTGGATTCTCTACCTGTTGCGCTAGAAGGTCCATTCTGCTCTCCAGTGTGTTGGATACCTTGATTTTGCCATCGACGTTATAGACTTCAACACCTCCTGAGCTGAGGATACCAAGCATGAACAATTAACACATCTAATTATGTATAAATAAGCCTTTTTTAACAAAACTGAATATATAAGTGATCTTACATGTCAGAGGGCAGGAATTTGTTTTCGTCGATGCGCACTTCAATATTACTCTTTACTGTCTCTTTGTAGATGGGGATGTTTTTCTTAACAGCAGCCTATTATGAACAGGTATATCAACCTCTTTAAAAATGTAAAAGGTTTGTATAGTTCATATGCACGTTGCAGAATATGATGTTAACAGATTGAGGGTAAATATAGCTCACCTGCACCATCGCTACATCTTCCTTTCTGCACCGAACTATAACCTTGGGCTCCAACAGCTGATAAAATCCCTGCCAAGGCAAAAAGAAAAGGTAATAAAATAGTTATTAATCATAAAAGTAATAAATACAAGAAAAAAAACGGTAATATTGTGAATTATTATTAGAACTTAAAAGAAAGTTTTTCTATTTTAATATAGTTTAAAATGTAATTTATTTCTGTGGTGGCAAAGCTGAATTTTCAGCATC